ACTTTAGATGAGAAACGGTCAACATAAAATTCAGTTATTATCTGGATTGACTACTAAATTGATATTAATTGTTGGTGTGCAGGCTTCCCTCTTGTACAAACCAAAATCGTTGATTTTTTCCGCATTCAGAGGTCTTCACCATCTGCAGAAAAGCTCAGCCCAGGTAATAGGCATCTCAAGTGTTTTATCATGGTTATTTGTCGCTGTTGACCACTTGTTATACATATGAATTGTTCTTTAGGTGGACAATAGAGAAAATGGATTTGTATTTAAGAAGAGAAAGAAGTTAAAATCTTATCTATTGTACTATATGATTATGTCAAGTTGTGTACCAAACATGCTTTTCTAGTTGCCGACTAGTGGAGTTCATATGATCCTTCTGTTGTTTGTTCACCTTCTTAGATAGCCGAAAGAGACGAAGGCGAAATTCTGGCTTGGTGATGTCGAAAAAGAGTAGGAAGTTATTGCCATTCAATCCTAGTAAGGATTATATTAGAAGGTTGGAACAAATGGCATCACTGGCTACGGCGTTAACAGCAACTGAGACTCTGTTTGTTAACGAGCTCACTTATGTCCCTGGCATGGCACCGAGGTCAGCTAATTGTGCTTCACTTGAGAGAGAAGGAATGCAGGTATATTCAACGTCAAAAATTTTAAGCATGTTATTCCAAGTAAAATTACTCATAATAACTGATGTTATGCTACAAATCCTACTAAAATGAAGACTGGATGTAGCATATTGCAAAAAGGTCTTAATCTCAAAATTATAAGTTGATTGTGCTTTTTCATGTAATTGGATGGCTGAAAAGAACCCTTGTTGAATTGGAAAGAAAAACTTTAGCTTCCTGTTGCATATCAGCTGAGTATAGCATCTTTCATGAAAGATATGTTGAAATTTGATTGTTCCAGTTACTCTACAAAGTGCAACATCATATCCAAATTCCCATAAAGAGCATTTTTATCTTTTATGAACTTATTTTGTTGATTTATTCTCGATGATTTGTGCGATTGTTAATTGAGATAACATGTTAAAACATTGCATGAAACCTGTATCCATAGGTCATATCAAAAGAAGATGCAGAAACCTTGAATCAGTGCAAGAATATGATGGAACGAGGGGAATGGCCACCGCTCATGGTTTTGTTTGATCCCCTAGAAGGGTGGGTACCAATGTGTTCAATTGTTTTCATTATCTGGGATAGTTGTTTTAATTTCTTATTCAATTGTAACAGATTCACCGTGGAAGCAGATAAATTTATAAGAGATTTAACGATAATTACAGAATACGTTGGAGATGTTGATTACCTGAAGAATCGTGAAAACGATGATGGGGACAGCATGATGACTCTTCTCTCTGCTGCTGATCCTTCAAAAAGTCTAGTCATCTGCCCGGACAAACGAAGTAATATTGCTCGATTTATTAATGGCATCAACAATCATACACCGTATGTCAATCCTCTTATAAAACTTGGTTTTCTGATTTTCTTTTCCATTGTTATACGTTAAACTTGCATGTTTGTAGTCACCGTAAAGTATAGTAAATCTTGTTGTGGAAGTTTCATATACAGTTTTGGATCATACTTAAGAGGTGTCTGGGCGCACTTAAAATTGAAAAAATTACCGTTGATAATGAGAAAAATGGACCGTTTCTTTTCACCAACTTTGCAGGAACTCTGACATGGCAGACCCACTTTTGAATATTTTATGGCAAAATGACCTTTTTGCCATTAACATTTAAATCATTTTGCATGATACACGGGCATTTTCGACATTTCATTTTTAGTAATTCAAATTTTGCTGGCTAGGACGGACCCATCTTGCAGTGAGCAACGGTCCATTAATTGATTGGCATTGGACAAAAATCATGCCCAGACACAGCCTTAGTACAGTAGCCAACCCTTCTACTTCTTTTTCTTATTTTATACAGTAATGTAAAAGATCGTTAATCCGAGTTTCTATCTTGCAAGTTCTTATCTGTGCCACATTAAGCTTGTAGCATGGATTTACCGTATAAGAAAATTGATCACTGGTCATCGATTAATCTTATCAATTTTTTTATAAGGTAGGGAAATCGACACATTGAATCCTAGAACCATTTTATGAAATCGGTCCTCATTATTCTTTCGAGTGTGAAAGTTCCCCTGATGATAAATTGTCTTCTGGTGCAGGGATGGGAAGAAGAAGCAGAACGTAAAATGTGTGAGATTTAATGTCAATGGCTCGTGTCGGGTGCTCTTGATTGCAAGCAGAGGAAAGGGAGAGAGATTGTATTATGACTACAATGGATATGAGAACGAATACCCAACAGATTGTATTATGACTACAATGGATATGACTACAATGGATATGAGGTGTAAATGGCTACGTGCTTTCAATTAAAATACTAGGTTTATGGGTGTGTCTCTCTAAATCATTCCATATCATTATTCTTGATTGCATTGCATCAAAATTCCTGAGAACTAATAGTTTTCTTGCATAAAAAATCATGTTCTTGGGAGAGTAGAAATTTCGTTTCAAGTTCATAAATCAACGTAATTTAAAGTACTCTTATTACGAGACGTGATCATTGCATTTTAGGATACGATTGCCGAAAACAATTAGCACCAATGCAGGGCAAATTCGTTTTCGAGAGAGTGTCAAACACTTATCTCGACCAATTCTATGTTTTGAATTTCTATTTTTTTTTTAACTTGTGTTTCGATTTTAGAAGAGGCTAACCTTCTTTTGATTATTGAGAAGGTTTGAATTGAAAAACGAAATGTCTTCATTGAAGAATGGAAAGTCTTGAATTCATCTTCATATATTTTGTTTCAATAAGTCGAAATTTTGTTCGTATTCATGCGTATGAGAACATATGATGTAGAATGAAATGTATGCACTTATATCGGTGTAATTTCCCCCAACAATTATTGTAAAAATGATGTTTTGAAAAGTGATTTTTTGGAGAATATATAGTTAAAAAGTGGGAAAATTTTTTGAACTTACGTACAAAATTACGTGAATGTTTGATTAAAATGAATATAAGAAATAAATTGTTTTATTTTAAAGTGAGTCAAATAGGGGCTTATATAAGCTCATTTTGAGTTTAATCACTTCATCTACACGTTACCCTACTGAACTAAAATAAATGTCGACGTAGCTAAGGGAGATTATGATGTGGCACAAAAAAATAGTTAACTCGTGATTTTGTTGTCTAACTTGACAACACGTGCATAGGTGGAAATTTGTGCTTGGTTAATAACAAATTTTAGAACTAAAAAGAGGTTTCCCGACCAAAACGAAACAACCTAGCTGTCCACAATAAGGGTATGTTCTCATTGTGATTCAATTTTGTGTTTTGAGTGTTCATTTTGAGATTGTTGAAAATGTATTTTTTTTTTTTTTTTACCATTTTGAAAACACATAAAACGCGTTTTGAAAATTTTTGCTTGATTATAACTGAAAACAATTTGTCGTTTTTGGTTTTTTTTTTTTTTTAATTTTTAACTTGTTTTCAAAAACGCGCTTTCGAAAATTGGAAAAAGAACGCGTTTTCACTGTTTTGGAAAATCGAAAACAGAAAACGGCTTGAAAATGGTAAAGAGAATGGACCCTAACTGTTCTCAGATTTTTAGTGCTGTTTCCGTCGATGGATCCCAGACTAACCCTAAAATGAATCCAGGACCATTTGGGCCGCAACCCAAATCTTTATCAGTCTCTCAGCCCAATCACAAACAATTTCCTCTATCATACTTCTCTCATTTAAGCTCCCAATTCAACATTGTTTAAAATCATCAAAATTCTATTAATACATTTTTATCTTTCTTTTTTTAATCACATTCTTTAATAAAATAATATTACACGTAAACTCAAAACTTTTCCTCTATTTTAACTAAGCATTCTCCAAAATACATTTTTCCCAAAATTTCATTAAAAGGGAACCCAAACAAGGGTATAATATAGCTCTATACAAAAAAAATATCGAAATTCTGTCCAATTATGTTTAATACGGTTAACAATAAGGCGTCCAGATGTCGTAATGACTGCTTACGCCTTACTGGAGCACATGGCGAAAGAGGGGTTTAACACTTTTACTAGTGACTATGATAAAATAAATAAATGAATAAATAAAAATTAGGATCTCTGCTCAATTGGAATTCTGATTTTTTTAGGGTGGTCCAATTTAGGCCTTACCCAAAAATCGCCGCCCTAGCTGGAATTCACCAACACAAACATTATGTTTGGATCAGATGCATCCCCTGACAATTGTCCCATTAATTATGCTACTCACAACATTAAAGGGATTGAAAACGCGTTTGGAGTGTTTTCAGTTATAAATCAAGTCAAAATTTTCAAAACGTCAAAAGAAACACATTTTCAACAATATCAAAATGAACACTCAAACCACAAAATCCGAAATGAATTCAAAACACAAAACTGAAATACAAATAGAACAGTCCCTAAGCCTCCGCTTGTTTCTCATTCTTTTAAAAAAATTCTACATGCTCGTTTTTAATCATGCATTCATAAAATAAAATATTCTAAACGTAAAATCGAAATTTTTACCTAATTTTTAACAAGACATTCTCCAAAAATTCACTATTCAAAATAATGTTTTCCCAAAAAATGACCAACAAACATGGACCGATCTTCATCGGGTCGGTTCAATTAGGATTTAGGGGTCCGGTTAGATCTTTACAGCCTGTCTCAACCTTTTTTTATACTTCTATCTATTTTGATTTCATTGCCCTTCTAACTCTTTCTATTTTTCTTATATCATGGCATCAATGATAATTTACACTTAAAAGCACGGTTATGATTTAAAATAATTACATAGTCATAAGTTAGTTTGATAGGTGATTATAATTAATCACTTCCGATCAAACATATTTTTAATCATACATTTCGCAGTATTCACATATTTCATAAGATCAACAACTTATAATCACGTACCCAAAAAAGCACTTAGCTATAGCGTATATATAAAATCGAATTCAATAATGGTTTATAATAGGATTTTGGATAAAGATATGTTTCTTTTCATGGTAGATACATGTTTCATCATTTCTAGGTTTGTAAAGGCAACATGGGACCTTCTCTTTTTATATATTGGAAAATTTGTCTAATTTTAAAAGTGCACTTCTACTAAAATGTTGAGTTAAGAGGTATAGAGCCAAACGTCCCCCCACGTGTTGCGCTTCATATAGAACTTGACATGACATAACTCGATATTTTTACATGCCAAGTTAGATAAAATATTTTTTTATAATAAAGGAATCGAACCAGACCAGCTCACGTAAACAATAAGAAAACAATTTATAATTGTACACATTAGGCCAAATGGCTGTTAGAATATATTTATAATAGTGTTGATATTTTTATTTTATTATTTTGCTTAAGGCGTGACAAATTAGGCAACCTAAGAAAGAAAATAAAGAATAACAGGCCTATTTATGATATTCATTTTATGTCGGCAACTATAAAACATCAATGACCAAGACTTTTAATTCATTTCCCAACCACTTACTACTTAATTAATTCGTACGTAAAACGTGGTCGGCAATAAATTGATTAATTAAGGCTATTGTTATAAAATAGAAAAATAATTTATGTTTGCGTGAATATAATGTGGATAAGAGTAATGCTACATGAACATATTGGATGACACTTTGGTTGACTGAACGCACACACGTGGGAGGTTGGCATTATTTAATTCACGCGGGACCCACAATGCAATGTGAAGGTCGGTCAACCGAGGTGGTACCAAATTATGACAAAGTGGCTTTACTCATGTGGACAAACGTCTTACATGTTTAACTCTCCAATTTAAGGTAACCGAAATACAAACGTCACGTTAACTATCGAATTAGAGCAAAAATAAAGTAAAATAAAACTCAGAGTGAAAGTTGGGTGACCAACATTTAGACAAAAAGATAAAACCTATTAAAAATATTTTTTTTTCTTAAATTATAAATTTTTCACATATATTACTATAAACATGTCTTGGCACGATAAAGAGAGTATGATTTCAAGAGAGACTGGTACGATATATCGAGTAATTAACGGGAGATGAAGTTCACAATGATCAACACACCAATATCGAAAAGTGAAACAAACAGGACAAAAACTATAGTAACTGTCAATAACATGTCGCACGGCTTTTTCCTCAATCTCCTCCAATTATTGGGCATTGTCTGTACTTAACGCTTGAAGTTTAATGATTTGGTCGGATTATGAAGAAATTGAGAAGGCAAAACAATGATTAGAATAAACTAAATGTTGAAGATTTTACTAAGATGTTTGATTAAATGGAAACAAAGGCAACAATTACTTTTGACTTTGTAAACCTCCAATCGCAATAGCTTAGACAAAGTTGGATTAGACTTAAAGACAAATTTAATAATCTTTTCAACTTTTTGTCGAGGATGCGATGCGATTGTTAGTTGTATAACGCTCCTCACAGGCCTGGCAGAACCGACCTCTCAAATGAGGTGAGTCCCATGCTGGACCCGCCTCATTAAAAAATCACCCCAAAATACCCACCCAACATACATTATGTGTGTTCGGTAAGGGTTCTGAACCCCTACCCTGTACACCAAGGCTGGTCCTTGTTAGTTTGTCACGCGTTAACTGATCACGTTTGTATGTTTAACAAGTTATATTTAATATGATGTGTAGGTGTTAGATTAAAGGTGTCAAAGTGGTGGGCTCGAATTAGCTTTTTTACTTTAGGTTAATTACACAATTAGACAATATTTAATGGATCGAGTTGAAAAATCAGATGAAATAATAAGAATTTCAAAAGTCAGGAATAGCTTAAAATTTGATTATTTGGAAAATTACAATATATGTAATCCAATTTTTTAAATTGTAACTTATCAAGTTCACACGTACTACCATATCCATTTTTTGTTGTCAACATCAAGCCACCAAAAATGTGCACTTCATCACCAAATCTTCACGACGCTACCATATGTCCCAAACACACACCTACAAAACCGCACCCATCACCATAACAAAACCACACCACAAAGCCATCAACCTTATGCGCAGCTAGGGATTTTCAGCTAACATGAGAATTGGACCATCAATTCGATGGAGAAACCAATCAATGGCTTTTGCAACATGTCGAATCAGCCATTATTGCTGACATGCAAGGGCTCATCACCGTCTACAATCATCAAACATTACTCCCACCATCACTTCAACTACCACAAACTCAAAAGAAAAACTTCGTAACTATCCACTCTTAAGCCACCACTAGCAAACAATGGGAAGATTTCAAAACCCAACATCAACTACTACGAACATTATGCAATCCATCACAATCAACACTGCCAAATTTCGATTTAATTTATAACAATTTAAATTTTTCATCTTTGATTTTGAATGGTTGACTT